AAAGAAGGGAAGGGGCGCGAAGAAATTAACGAGCTCTTTGTTTGCGGCCGGAATGGGCCATCGGCGGCCCCAAAATGGCACAAAAATGTTTAAAATTCTCACAAATATAAATGGGCTTCTTGTAAGCTACAAATTCGGATGACATTAGTTAGAAGCATGCAAAACAGCGAGGAATTAGTACGATATGTGAAGTAGAGTGGATAATGTAGAGAAGGGTAAAGTAAGATAGAATAGAGTACGGGAACACATGATAAGGTAAAATAAAGTAGAGTATAGTAGGTAGGTTAAGCTAGGGCCGAGTAGGGTAAGGAAAAGTAGAGTAGGGCATGGTAGAATAGAGAAAGGTAGGGTAGAGTACCGTAGGGTATGGTTGGGTAAATTAGGGTAGGGTTAGAATAAGGTAGGGTACGGTAGAGGAGGGTAATCTAGGGTAAGATAAAGTAAGGTAGAGTAGGGAAAGGTGAGGTAGGGTAAGATAGAGTAGAGTAGGGTAAACTAGGGCAGGGTATGAAGTTCTCAGCCTAATAAGTACAAACTAAAGTTTGAGTATGGTACTGAAATAAATAAAATATTTTTTTTTGTAAAATACGATGTTGTCTCTAGTTAACTTTGAAACCTCAGTACTAACTTCAAATGTAAAGCCTTTTCCCTAAAGCAAGAAGAAGAAAATTATTAGATTACAAGCTTAATTAAGCGCCGGCTGAAAAGTGTGAAGAGTTGGATTGAAAAGCCAATTTCTTCGCTCAATTTGGCACAAATTTGCATAATTTCAAACATTTTATAGAGTTTTTAAATTTTGGTAAAATACGCTGACGATCGATCACTCGTATTCGACATGGACAACATGTTAGAAAATACTGATACTTACGTGATATAATTACAGTAAAACCTCTTTAGTATGACCCTCGATAGTGTGACACCGTCTTTATAATAACAGCTTCTTCACCTTTCTGACATAACTACCCCACCCTACTCTGCCCCACATAATTTTTACCTCCTCTAAATATGCACCCTAAACACCCCCTGCTCTTAATATCTCCCTAACCCACATCAAATTAGCCCTACCTACGCCCTATTCCTTTCTCTTTCCTTCATTAGACCCTAACTACCGTAATCGCAAATGAAGCGAATGAGCGGACATCGTTTGAGCGCCTTTAATGAGTCTTCCCCCTCCCTCCTTTTCACACCTTTCGCCGCTGGGCATTAGGCGGCCATTTTAGAAGGAAAAGCTTGGAAGAATAAGAAAGGATTGAGAATTTGAAGAAGCGGAAGGGGAGGGGGGGGGGAGGGACTTATCAACAAAGCTTAAAATCGCAAGAACTTTCTTTACAAAACGCTAAATTGCAAAAACTTTCTTTGCAAAGCCAGAAAACGTTTTCTATCGTAAACCTGTCGCCTGCAGGCTGCAGAACACTAACTTTTGTTATCTTATAAAAAAATGGCAAGAACTTTCTTTACAAACCATAAAACGGCAATAAGTTTCTTTACAAAACTTAAAATGGCAAGAACTTTCTTTCCAAACTAACAAATGACGAGAACTTTCTTTACAATGCATCATTTCCAGTGCAATTCTAATTTTCGCCGCTAGTGCAATCCAGCACGCTGAATCGGTTATAGCACGGCGGCGAAAGCAGCGTCAGAAGCGGAACCACGGCGGTTTCATTAGAGCGGAACACGGTCTTCCATAATGGCCTCCTCTCGCACCTTTAACGGCCGCGACTTGAAGGGCCGACCAAAAATATGGAAATTGCCATCTAATAGGCGGAATGACTATTAACTGAATATAATGGGAATTGGAGAGAGTGCAGAGATGGCAAGCGACAATGAATTAATTACGTAAATGGAAATAACAATAATTACCAGTACGAGGGTACGGTAGAATTGGGAATTAGCGAATTTTTAAGCAATTTGAAAGTATAGGACTCGGAAACTTCATGACAAACATAAAAAATAATGTTCACAATATTGACATGCTTTTTGCTATAACAAGCTCAAAAAAAATTAAGCCTAATTCCAGAGCTAAAATTATTATTATTATAATAACGTAATAGACCCAAAAAAAGTTCTAAAAATTCTAAAACAAAAGCACAGTAAAGCTACCGAAGCTACTGTAATGCCAAAAAAACCAAAATCATTTTCGTTTCACGACTAATGTAAGACTACAAAAAGAATAAGAATAAACACAGCTACAGAATTAGTGAAGTAACACCAAAGTAACGACCAAAGATGACTACATTAAAACAGAATGTATAACCTAACAGTGCTAAATTAAAAATTAAATTAAACTAACGAAGCAAGACTAAATCTATAGAGCGACTTCAAGTCAAGAACAAGATGAAATTAAAAAACAGTTACAGTAGTTGTAAAGTAAAATTAACTTAACTCTAAAGTAGCCTCAAGAGCTTACCAAGGTAAGGTTAAAGTATAGCCAAAAAGAATACACTATCTTGCCCTACCCTATCCTACCCTTCATTATCGTACTCTACTCTATCCTAATTCTACTCTACCCTACCCTACCCAACCTTTCCTTACCATGAAGTTCACTAACACACCATACCCTTAAAAGACTAAAATAATATAAAGATAAGACCAAAATCTAGAATAACAAACCTTTTACTAGCCAATACCAACCATTACCCCCCCCACCAAGATGTGTTTATAACACATTACCCACAAGGTGTGTCTACACAAACCTCATTTTGGTTCATTGAAAAGCGGCGAACTCAACGCCGCGAGAATAATTTTTAATTTCACAGTTGGAGAGTTGAGAGTGTTTAAAGCGCCACCTAATACGAGACCAAATAAAGGGGCTTAAAACGAAATGAATTAAATTCCCCGCTACCTGTGGCGAATCCATAATCAATTTCCCCAAATTTGCGAAATTCGCTGTGAAGGCAAGACTGTTGGGGTTTGAAATTTATATTTTTTGAGTTTGGACTTGATTACTGTAGAAAAATGTAAGTAAATAGCGATTACTGTAGAAAAATGTAAGTAAATAGCAATTACTGTAGAAAAATGTAAGTAAATAGCAATTACTGTAGAAAAATGTAAGCAAATAGGTATTACTGTAGAAAAATGTAAGTAAATAGCGATTACTGTAGAAAAATAAGAGTAAATAGGTATTACTAAAGACAAATTGAGTAGTAGGTAAGGAAAGAAAAAGAAGGGAAGTAGGCATGGAAAACATGACAAGCCATGCCTAAGCAAAATTTAGGTCAAGCCGGGCCTAAATATGACGAAAAAAACCTGCCTGGTAAGAAAAGTTCGGCCCGTTTTACGTAAAAAAACAGGCCGGGCCAGGCCTGAGCAAAACTCAGATCGGACCGGACCTAAATATTTTTTATTTTTTTTTATTTTAAAATGACCCATCCTCTTTGAACTTCAAAAAAAATTTTTTAACACCTCCACCCTCCCATAACCAAAATAACCTGCCCTTAAAAAATAAAATAAATTTCAAAAAATTGCCATAATTAAAGGAAAGCTAAATATTATTCCCGTATTTTACCATACAAACCCCTAATAAAAGAACAGTGTAACTGCTGTATAACAAACTATGTACTCTATAACAAAAACCTTGTATAACAAAAAAATTTAAATCTCCGCCTACCACTACACAGTGCATTTACCACTCATTTATAACAAAAAAACTAAAAATCGCTAAAAGATACGTTACGCAAAACTTTTGCACTGTGTAGTGGTGGACGAGGATTTAAAAGTTGTTCGTTATACGAGATTTCCGTTACAAAGGAGTTCGTTATACAGGAATTACGATGTATAATAAAATGAAAAAAACTTTTTTAAAAAACCGAAAATGGCAAAACCTATCTTTACAAAACAAAAAAAGCCACTGTACTTTTTTCAGAAGCGAGTTGGCAGCCAATTGGTCAGACAAATGAGCGATTAGCCGTTTCTTCGCTAAAAAAATGGGCGGAGCTTGACAAATAGGTGTAGAGTAAGGTAAAGTATGCTAAGTAAGATAGGATAGAACATGTCAGGATAGGCTGGGTTGGATGAGTAAGGTACCGTAGAAAAGGATAAGATGGGGTAAAAGTAGAATAAGATAAGACAAGGTAAAGTAGAATAGAGTAAGGTAGAGCAGGGCAGGGCAGGTCAGGGCAGGGCAAAGCAGGGCAGGGCAATGCAGGGTAGGGTAGGATAGGATAGGGTAGGGTAGGGTAGGGTAAGATAGGGTAGGGAAGAGTAGGGTCGGGTAGAGTAAGGTAGGGTAGAGTAAGGTAGAGCAGGGCAGGGCAGGGCAGGGCAGGGCAGGGCAGGGCAGGGCAGGGCAGGGCAGGGCAGGGCAGGGCAAGGCAGGGCAGGGCAGGGCAGGGCAGGGCAGGGCAGGGCAGGGCAGGGCAGGGCAGGGCAGGGCAGGGCAGGGCAGGGCAGGGCAGGGCAGGGCAGGGCAGGGCAGGGCAGGGCAGGGCAGGGCAGGGCAGGGCAGGGCAGGGCAGGGCAGGGCAGGGCAGGGCAGGGCAGGGCAGGGCAGGGCAGGGCAGGGCAGGGCAGGGTAGGATAGGTTAGGGTAGCGTAGGGTAATTTAGGGTAGGGTTAAGTAAGATAAAGTAAGGTAAAGTTAGATATAGACAAAAGTACGTTAAGTTAAGACAAAATGTAAACCCATAAAACATACCCCCCCCTCAATTTCCTACTGTTTTCCAAGCTTATTCGTTAATGTACCGTAACCCTCGAATTGATGAATAATAATTTTTTGACATTTCCCAAGCGCGAATTATGCGATTAAGCGAGAAATTTTTGAAAAAAGAGAGAAAGAAAGAAGGGATTCACCTTGAACAATATCTGAATCAGCGCGTCAGATTACAAACAACTTCTGACAATTGACAAAAACCAAAGACTATTAGTCTTAAAACCGATTTCTAGGGGGGGGGGAGAGTAAAGGAAGAAAGGGGAGGTAGGGGTGAGGGTAGGAATAGGGCTAGGTAGGCTTTATGATAGAGAGGGGGGGGGGGTAGGGTAGAGTAAGGTAGAGCAGGGCATTATCAATGCCTACTGCACCCCAAAGATACTGTAAAAAAAAATTTTTAAAAATCGTATCTTAACAGAGTCTACTGTAACCCAAAGTTACTGTAAAAATTAAAAAAAACCAAAAATAATTTTAAAGTTGTAAAACTCACGTTCATCGACATTCCTGTTGGCACATTGAGTTAGATGAGCTAAAATTAATCAAATACAAAAACTAAACTATTTTTTTTAATTTAAAAAAATTCTAAAAATTGCAAAAACTTTCTTTACAACAAGATTTTTCAAAAAAAAATAAATAATAAAAATGATTTTTCTAAGATTTAAAAATGCATTTTTAGAGCTAAATCAACCTGAAATTTTATTTTTTTTTCAATTTGAAAATATTTTTGAATGCACTACAAAAACTTTGTTTCCAATTTGATAAAACCAAAAAAAGTCGCTTTAAATTAAAACCAATAAGTCTATTATCGTATTTTACAAAAAAAATAAATGCCATAACTTTCTTTCCACTCAAAAAAATATTTAAAAACTTAAAAAATTTAAAAAAAAATAAAAAAATTTACCAGTAGCTCCACTTTGGTCGTCATAACAGCCTCCACAGTAGACGCATTCGTACTGTATCCCGCCATTGTTATTTTGAGACGAAATGACAGCCGATCCTCGTCTGACTGGACTTGTCGAATGTAGCATCAGAATTGAGGCACGATGAAGGTGAAGCCGGCTGTCACAATGCTCACGCAGACTTGAGGTACTGAAAATGACATTTTTATTTCGTGAAAATACAATATTTAAAAAATGCAGTTGTAAAGAAAGTTTTTGTCATATTTTCAACTTAGTGCTTTTAAAGACAGGGCGCGATCTGAAAGTCCTGTAAAAAAAGTTTTTGCCAATTTATGATTTGTAAAGAAAGTTTTTGCCGTTTATAAAGTAAAGCTAACTTTTCCAACGGCCGTATTTTACCTTTTACTCCAAGTTTAGCCCTTCCAGAAAATGAAAAAAAAAGTAAAGCAAATATGACAAAAATAATCGCTCTTTGGCCTCTTCATAAGACAAATGTTTACCGTTCTTCTTTCTCCAAAAAAGGTATTTCTGGAGGGGTTGGGGTTAATTTTAGACTATTAACTTATAATATTTTTCAAAATTTATTTTTTTCAAAAAAAAATATTATTTTTTAAAAACTTATTTTAAAAATTTTTTTAAATAAACATAAAAAATTTGTTTGTGACAAAGTAAAGTCTTAAAATTATTTAAAAAATGTCAAAACATAGCAAGAGACTAGGATTAAAGCTAAGTCTAGCGCTACAGCTAGGGCTAGAGATGTGGCTAGAACTAGGACTGATGCTAGAGCCAGGGCAATTGTCAGGACTAGGGCTAGGGCTAAACCTAGGGCTAAAGCTAGGGATACAGATAGGGCTTTGCCTAGGACTAAGACAAGACTATGGCTAAAGCTAAACCTAAAGCTAGAGCTAAAACAAGAGCTAGAATTTTTACTGGGACTTATGCCACAGGTTAAAGCTAGAACAAAGACAGAGCTAGCAATACTGAAATGGCTAAAACTGCGCTTAGGCTACCCTGGTAAAATACAAAAAATTAACCTCCTAATATCAAAAATCTCATAAACATGCTGTTTATGCCGTATTTGCTCAATTTTTCGTATAAATTCAGGTAATTTGTAATTCGATAATTACCTGCGATATATCCGATTTCATCTCATTACTATTTTAAAAACATTCTTTTAATATTCCCGTCTCCATTACCAATATTCCCATGCCCAAATGGCGGTATATTATAGTACTTGAGGTAATTTTAGCCATTGCGACAACTTTGTTTGAAAATTGCAAGAACTTTCTTTACAAGGCATCAAATTACAAGAACTTTGTATACAGTGCAGAGAATTGCAAGAACTTTCTTTACAAGTTGAAAAATTGCAAGAACTTTCTTTACAAACCAAAAAAGCAAGAACTTTCTTTCCAAAGCACAAAACGGCAAGAACTTCCTTTACAATACATAAAACGGCAAGAACTTTCTTTCCAACTTATAAAATAGCAAGAACTTTCTTTACAAAACATAAAATTGCAAGAACTTTCTTTCCACTGTAAGTTATGCCATTCTATAGCAATATTAACCTACCAGACCAATATCTCCTGACATACTCCACATCGTACTTGAACGGTGCTTTTGGCCGCTGACAATCGGCCCAACAAGGCATTCGGCGAGGTTGGAGTGGAACATTCGCGCATGTGATTGATCTGAATTTAAATTTAATTAAAATCACTAATTAATGCACGCACACCTGTTGCTATTTACAATGTATAAGGTTGGACAAACAAAAGAAATAGAAAGAGCTATTAGGAAAAGACAAGTTTAGACGAAGTAAGCAAGAATTTTCTTTACAGAACAAAAAACGGCAAGAACTTTCTTTAAAAACCAAGAAATGGCAAGAACTTTCTTTACAAACCAAAAGATGACAAGAACTTTGTTTAAAAAACAGAAAATGGCAAAAAGTTTCTTTACAAAACAAAAGATAACTAAATTTAACATTGTTCGTATAACTTGTCTTCCGCAGCCTGCAAATCCAGCAAAAAGCAAAATATAAGAAATTTCTTCACAAAACAAAAATCAACAAGAACTTTCTTTACAAATCGAAAAATAACAAAAAATAGCCTTATAATTTAAAAAGGAGCAAGAACTTTGTTTACAAACGCTTAAAACTTATTTATCGTATAACTTGTCCTCTGCAGGCTGCGAGGTCCAAAATGTAGCTATTTTTAAATTCTTTACAAAATCGCATTTAAAAAAACCTTAAAATTAAATATTTAACCACCCCCTCCCCCTCCTTTCCATCAAAAATTTTTTCACCCGCCCAAAAAATTTTTTTTACCCCGCCAAAAAAAATTTTTACATCAAAAACCCCACTATCAAAAAAAAACTTTTTTACCCTGCCCCTTTTTTCCTTCTTCTAATAATCATCCACTCCCAAATTTAGGTGACACCTTGCATATCCGGCTTCTCCTCGCGCCAATTGGCCTTGCTTTTGTGGCCAAATTGATTTTGGTCGATTCGACAGGTTTATTTGGACAAGAGATTTGCCACTTGGCGGTTCCACTTTTATGGATATTAACATAGGCAAACAAGGCTATTGACGTATTTTAAATTTGGGTAACAAATTCAGTTTTTTTAGTCAAGTTTGGAAATTAAAAGTCGGCGGGGTAAAAAGTTTGAGCATTAAAAGCCGGGTAAGATAATATTAGGGCAGTGTAAAAAATTAGAGCGTTAGAAGTTGGGCAGGGTAAAAAGTTTGAGCATTAAAAGTCAACGAGGTAATGTTCGGGCAGGGTAAAAAAGTTGAGACTTAAAGGTTAGACGGGGTAATGTTTAAAAAAAATTAAAAAATGGGGGGAGGAGTGAAAAAAATTTTTTTGACAAGAAAGAAAAGAGAGAAGGGGGAGATAAAACATAAAAAAATGTAAAATTATGGATTCACCACAGTAGCCAGTTAATCCAAATGACATTTCAAGAGCTTCTTCAAGCCTGTTGACCCCGATTATAAAGGACAATGAACTGTTTATACTCGCCATCTTATAATTGCCACCTTACTAGGTTCATTAATAAAGGTGAGAAAAGGAAGGTAAAGGCTTGGGATCTCTTCTCGTTCAAAAAAAAAATAAAAAATATAATCTACCCCCTCCACATTGCCTCATTGTACATAATTTTTATCCCTACTCAGCTCTTCACCACTCCCTACATAATACCCCCAACTCTCAAATTTTTTTAAATTTTACTCCGCCCAATCTTTTTTTTTGAAAATTTCCCATGCCCAAACTTTTTACAAAGCTTTTACCCTGCTTAAACTTTTTTTAGTTTTAAGAAATTCCTAAAAGGTTTTTCAATTTTACCCCGCCCAACACTTTTTTCAAAGCCCCAACACTTTTTTACCCTGCCTAATCTTTTTTCCCATTTTTACCACGCTCGAAAAGTCTTTTTTTCTATTTTTACCCTGCCCGACACTTTTTAAAAGGCTTTACCATGCCCTTTTTTAATTTTAACCTATCTAACCTTTTTTTCAAGATTTTACCCCGCCCAACCTCTTCTTAAAACTTTTACCACGTCCAAACTTTTTTTCAAGATTTTACCCTGCCCGAACTTTTTTCAAAAATTTAAATTTTTTTTTTCCAAAGTTCTACCTTACCCAACCTTTTTTTTAAATTTCACACCGCCCAAATTTTTTTTTCAAAAATTTACACTGCCCAAATTTTTAAACAATTTTAGCCCACCTCCTTTCCTCCTACTTTTAAAGCAGAAAATCAATTAGTTACCGTACCCTTCCTTTATCTTTCCTGCTTTAAAAAACCAGTAGGCAGGTAAATAAAGCGCCTTTCAAGTAGTCCTATTTACCTTTTCAAACCCATTAAGCATGGCCATCAGCTTTATTCATCTTGTGTGTGAAATTCGGCTTCGGATCAAAAAGGAAACGGCACTAAAGACGGCTTTTCGCGCACAATAGGGAACGGCACGTTGGGAAGAACATTGTATTGCGCAATGCCGTTTGAGAACTTTTGAGGAAAAAAGTTACTTTTTGTTTCGGGGTAAATGTCAGTTTTTACCATACCCTACATTCAAATTGCGTTCAAGCTTACTCTACTTTACCTTATCCTACCCTACCCTATACCCTACTCTACCCTACCCTACCCTGCCACACCCAGCCCTACTATAGTCTATATGCCCTGCCGTTGCCTAAAATTTACCCTAGCCCCACCTACTTCATACTCAAAAAATCCTTTTCAAATTTACCATACCCATACCATAATCTACTCCACCTCTCATACCTTGCCCTTTCTTACCACACCCTATCTTACTCTACATTACATTGGCGGACGCTACTATAAGTTACCCTACAATACCTAACGCACTACTTTACCCTACTAAGCCCTACCCTACTTTGTCCAGCGTAAAACTTACCCTATCCATTTTCCCACTCCAGTAAAATCCCCCTTCCAAAACAAGTTTGTTTCGGCCAAAAACAAAAAAAAAGTTTTGTCCAAAAAGGGCGGAAATGAAAGCAAAAGCCGGTAATAAATCAGAATCGGAGTCAATTAGGGCGATAGGACAAAGAAAGAATGTCATTTAGTGCGCCGCTAATTTTATGAGACTTTTCTGGATGCAAATTAGTCAAAACTTGGGTAGGGTCATCAGAAAATGACATTGATATAGGAAAAGGAATAGCATTACAACGAGGTTTTGAAAAATCTCAAAAAATTTTAAATTTCAAAAATTTTGAAAATTAAAAAATTTTGTAAATTAATCTCAACAACACCCCATAAAAACTCCAAAAACCTACCAACTGCACCCTCTGAATATGTTTGTCAGTCTTGGTATGAAGTTGAAAATTGGCCTTCAGATTGGTATTGTAAGGGCAGAGATGACAATGATAGAAACCATTGATCATGCTGATGTCACCCACATTCAGACCGCTTCGATCTTGTTCCAGATGGTCTAAAATTTCGGTATTCGAATTGGTCCGAAAGTTGTTGCAGATCAAACAAGTGAAGAGCTTGTCCGAAGTCAGTTCGAGAGGATTCACTGGAGTTTGTTGAGCTGGAAAGTGACATTTTTAGTGTGGCAATACGGTGAAAGTGCCATTTTCGGATTAACAATAATTTTTTAAAATAGTATTTTTTAAATCTGTTCTTATCATAGTTCATAATTTTTAACAAATAAGTGTAAAAATTATATTTAAAAATTTTGAATTTTTATTTTCCCGCCATCTTTGGCATTATGTTTCAAGGCGTCTAAACAAATCTAATGGCTTCAAAATGTCATAATCTTTAACTAATGAGCTTTTATTAACAATACCGGTCAAGATATAACTACAAAAAACATAAAAAATTTCAAATCTCAATGTTTCCGCCATCTTTGGCATCCTGTTTCAAGGCTTTTAAACTAATCTAATGGCTTCAAAATGTCATAATTTTGAACTAATAAGCATACATTAACTATACTGCTTAAGCTATTATTCAAAACCGTTTCAAAAAATTTTAATTTCAATTTTGGCGCCAAATTTAAAATTCTGTTTTTTCTTCTAACCACTATTAAAAACTTAAACATTACAAAAAATACAACATATAAGCTTCATGAACATATTTTTTTTCGAATTCTATAATTTTTCTTAAAATTTTTAAAAATCTCATTTTCCCGCCATTTCTGGCATTCTGTTTCAATCTCCCTTAAATCCCTCAAAACCAAACCTTAACCTTACCAATATTATTTGGCATTTCCTGAACGGCATGAAGATGTTTGTCCGACTGCATGTGAATGCTCAGATTGCCTTTGGTGGTCGTACTGTACTTGCACAGTTCGCAGCGGTAAGGTTTGTAGCCACAGGAATAGCTTTCGCCTCGAGCCAGCTTCGGATGAGGTTGATTTTGAAGGCAGAAGATGCATTTTACATCCAAATCATTGTGCTTCTCCTTCATATGAATCTCCAACGTCTCTTGGTACTTGTAGTGCCAATTGCATTTGGGACACTTGAGGGTTTTGGAGCTGTTTCGTTGAACGAATGGTGCGTTTGGTGCGAATTGTTGGGCTCTCATGAACTTCATCAGCTCTAAAATATAATTTGTTTTCAATTTTTAATATTATAAATATTGTAATTATGCCATCTTTTTCATTTTACTTAAAATTTTAGGTTTTCCAACCGAAAAAATTCAAATTTTATTTTTCCCGCCAACTTTGGCATTCTTTTTTAACACTTAAAAACAACAAAAAATTTTCGAAAACGCATAATAAATAACTTCTAACCACAAGTAAAACCAATTTTTATTTAAAAATTCAAATGTTAATTTTCCCGCCAACATTGGCATTCCGCCTCAACCTTCAAAATCCGCCTAAAAACCCTGCCCAAATCAAAAACCCTTTCAACCTACCTCCATTAAGCATTTGTTGACTCATATTCATCATGAACTGATTAGTCATGTTGGAAGGAGACGAATCATCGGGTTTACTGTAGGCATTGATTACTGTATTATCACCGGTCATGAGCATTAAATCAGCGGTGTCATTGATTTGAACCGAGTGTACTTGATCACAATGAGATGCGAATTCTAGTTGATCTTGGAAACGTGCCGAACATGGAATACAGTAACATTGCTGAAATTTGAATTTTTATTTTGGCGCGCTTTTGGCATTTTGTTTTATAATGTTGAAATGGCAAAAATAACTAAAAATTTTTTAAAAAAATGGTAGAAAATACCTTGTAAAAAGATAATTTATACCATAAATGTTATAGGTCGGTCCAAAAATGACATATGACATTAAAAAATTTTGAATTTTCATTTTGGCGCCAAAATTTTTTTATCTTGTAGTAATCTTTAACAGCCGAAAATAAGCTCAATAAGCAAAAAAAATAGTTATGAATGTAAAATACGCGGTTTCCGGCAAATCCGGAAAAAATTGATTACTAAAATAGCTACAGTATCAATAAACGTACCGTATCCAAGATGCTAAAGTTGGTTGCTTCTCGATTCTTTTCGACCGCGAATTCTTGAATTTGATCTGAAGTTGTGATCACTATTCTCTTTATCGATTCCGAAGCTATTCGTCCCGGTTCTGAAGGCGATTTGAGTGGATCCGGCTCCGAAATGAACAGAACTTCTTCGTTTTGCGTGAATTTTACCCGGTTCAGCTGAAATTTGAATTTTTAAATTTTTAAAAACTAGGCTTCCTGGTGCTAATCACACTAATTTAAAATTTAGAATAGTCTTGTAGAAAGACTAGCCCAATACCCAATTTTTGACCCAACCCACAAGACAGAAAATTGATTCTTGTTTTGAGCCCAGACCTATAAGTAAGTTTAGTCCCTCGGTCTGTTAGGTAAAGACGGGAAAGGAAAAGAGAAGTGAATCCATCAAAACCGATCAAAAATGGTTCTTAAAGTAGGTAGTACGTGAAAAATTAAAGATATTTTTACGAAAAATTGGTGCCCAGTAGACCAGTAATGACCGGGCGGGTCCCAATTTTTCAGCCTAACCCGGCCCTTTTCAAACTTGCAGTCTGACTCGATCATGGCCTGGTAGACCCCCTTTTCAAATATAGTGCACATAGACCACCTGTAAACGAAAAACTAAAAAAAATGCTGTACCGACAACCCTGATCATAATGTAACCAACAACCCCATTATTGGCCAACAAACTAGTAAAATTTCCAATAACACTAATACCAGCTTTATAAATTTAGGTACCAAAAAAAGAAAGAAAAAGAATAAAATAGTACAACTAAACAATAAATTGCCTAATTGTGCCCATACCAACCTAAAAGACTGACGAAAACGTATTAAGCAAGCTCATTTCCAAGTTTGAGTCGAAATGATTTGATTATGAGTCGTCGCTGGCCTAATAGTTATCGTATTTAGACCGTCAGGCTTTAATTGCGTTTTCCGTTCAGCGTTTTTTACTTTACTTTTTAAGAAGTATAGTATAAGAGTATAAGTTATCTTAAATTTATCCTACTCCTACTAATTAGAACCCAAAACTTTTATCACCCCAATCAGGGGGCGTCGCTAGGGGGGGGTGGAGGGGGGGGGGTTGGTTACTTCCCCCCCCAGAGCCGACCCGAAAAAAATTCCACAGGTAGGTACCTGTACGCGACCCCAATAGTTACAGTATAACTCTTTTACAATACTCCTTTATAACAAAACTTTCGTATAAAAAACATTTAAAAGTTTGTTTATGACATTACATAGAAATAACAAAGATGTGACAATTAGAAGCCGGAATGAGTTATAATGAAAGTTGTGTCTTTGAGACAAATAAATTATTTTTTGTTTATTTCGCTGTAATTGAAGTGACTTCATAATGGATTCAAAAAGGTTTTTCTTCCAAAAAAAGGCTTAATTACTTCGTTTTGTTTTTAAAAATTGGCAACCATGTTATTTTAAACCAAAAAATGAATTTCGAAAAAGAACGATTATTTAAAAATTCAAAAAAGTACAAAAACTTTAAAGGTAGTATCAGAACAGATCAAAATAGTAATAAAAATGTCCAGATTATCAACAAAATTTATGAAGATAATACCTAAAAAGCCAAAATTAGTACTAAGATCTCAAAAGTAGTACCAAAAAATAAATATGTTACCAGAACAAGCAAAAAGTAATTCTCAAAAAGTCAAAATTAGTATTAAATATTAAAATTTCTAAAAGAAGGTACCAAAATTCTAAAGATACCACCAAAACTGATAAGGATAGTACTAAAGATGTTCACAATATCGACGTAATTTATAAAGATAGTACGAGAAATGTCAAAAATAGTACAGTGGAACTCCTGTATTACAAACTCTTCTATAACGAAAATCCCGTATAACGAACGACTTCTGAATCCCCGTCTACCATTACACAGTGCATTTAAAACTCCTGTATAACAAAACTCCTTTATAACGAACAAATTTCAAGTCCCCGAGCGATTCGTTATACAAGAGTTCCACTGTAGTATGAGTTCTAAAATACTACTAAAAACCATACAAATAGAACTAGAAGTAATGCAAACAGTACTAAGAATATGATCCTAATAGTACTAAAAATCGTACAAATAGTACTAAAACTCCAAAAACAGTACCAAAAATGCAAAAAGTACCCCAAAAACAGACGAAAGAGAAAGAACAATAGTCCTAAAAAGCAAAAAAATAGAACCAAAGATGAAGACAGTACCAACTTACATTTTGAGAGTTGCTTGAGCTAGGCTGTTGTGTCATGATATTGAGATTGAATCTGTTTTCTTGAACATTGGCTGGTACTAATCACAGTTTGAAGGCATTTTGTTACCTAAAATTTAAGAAAATGTTTTTTGTAAAATAAATATTAGAACAGACACTAAGACACGTATTTTACTATAGATAACCTTTTTTTTAAATTTTAATTCTTACAAAAAAGCAAAAAAATTAAAATTTCAAAAAAAAATTAAAAAATCAACTCCTCCCCACACACAAATACCTCACTCCCCAGTATCACCTCAAAAAACCATTATCGCATAAAGTTACAGTATGCCTTTGTCGGCCCTTTCTTTGAGGAAATTAGAGGAATAAAAGCCGGCTGTCTTTAAGACGCCCCTGCGGACAATTCCAATTTGCTCATTGGCCGCGGACCTTAATCACACACTCTTTAGCGCTTTTCGGAAAGGGGCGGGGTTTTCAAATTATTACCGTAGGTGAGAAATTTACGAGAAAATTTGAAATACCGTGGAATTCTGTATAACAAAACTGTTCTACAACGACACGTCTGTATAACGAACTCATAGGTAATGAAAATTGTGTATAACGAACAACTTTCTAATCTTCATCAAACACTAATGTGCATTTAAAACCCCTGTATAACGAAATTCTTTCATAACCAACAAATTTTTAAGGCCCTAGGGCAATTCGTTATACAGGAATTATGAGTTGTAGAGAAGCTCGTTAGTTTATAAAAATTGCAAGAACTTTCTTTACAAGTCAAAAGTAGTAAAGACTCTTTTTATAAAACATAACATGGAAAAAAACTGTTGTTACAGAACAAGAAATAGCAAGAACTTTCTTTACAAAACTTTTATTTTTATTTTTCCTATAAATTGTCACCCGCAGGCTGCAGAGTACTAAAATTCGTTATTTTATGAAGAAATTGCAATAAATTTGTTTACAATGTGTAAAATAGCAAGAACTTTCTTTACAAAACAAAAAATGGCAAGAACTTTCTTTACAAACCTTAAAGTAGCAAGAACTTTCTTTACAAACCATGAAATGGCAAAAACTTTCTTTACAAAACATAAAAATTACAATAACTCTCTTTACCAGACAAAAAATTGCAAAAACTATAATTTTTAGTCCAAAAAATCCAAGAAATCCTGATTAAAACATCACAAAATACAGTAATTTGAGCCCCCATAAAACGTAATGACAGGCCATAATAAAGGCCCAAAAGTAATTCGATGTTACCTTTGAAGTAATGGCCAAACAAAGTGATGTGGCCCATCCCATAAATCATGTAATTTTCGCATTATGGCCAATATTAAACTGTAATCACATGTTGTGAAGGGTTTCGGGCTAAATTTCCAATTTTCAAAATTTAAAAGTTTCAAAATTTCGAAATTTTAATTTTTTTTAAAAAACAAAAAAAAATTATTTTTAAATTTTGAAATTGAGAAAAATTTAACACAAAATTTCACTTTTCAGTTCCGTATATTTAAAAATGGCAAGCACTTTCTTTACAAAGATAACAAACATCGTATAACTCGTCTCCCGCAGGCCGCCAAGCCCATAAATTTAATTTTTTCTTTGAAAATAGTCAAAACTTTCCTTACAAAACATGAAATGACAAAAACTTTCTTTAAAAAAACCTAAAATTGCAAGAACTTTCTTTACAAATTAACAGGTTTAAACGTTTTTTGATCGTATAACTTGTCACCCACAAACTGCAGAATGTAAAAATTGCTTAAAACGGTAAAAACTTTCTTTTACTTCCTTGATAAGAGCTACATAACCCCTTTTTTAGCTATCAGCCACTTTTTTCCTTACAGTACTCCTCTCTTACCTACCGTACCTTTCCAAACCCTCCTTCCCTCTCTTAAGCCCTCATTTGTCTTAAAGGCCAATAATAAACCAAATGTCCTAATGACAATATCAAAGAGAAAGACCAATCGTCTGCCCTGAAGCTATTAAATGCCCTCAGGAGAAGTAAAGGTGAGGAGAGGGAAGGACAGGGGGAAGCGAAGGAGGTAGATAGAGAAAGCCAAAGAGAGAGAAGTGGCAGCCGGCTGGTCCCTGGGACAACCCGATTCTATGGCCACGATTAATTTTTTATTAGCGGACTGATATTTAAATATTATTTGGGGCGGTTATTATGAATGAATGGCCTTTCCACAGCCCCTCAGGTGTTTAGCAATTCGTTCGCAAAACTTTTTTTTCGAAATTAATACGAAAAATGGCGGCCAATTGGCCCTGGAGGCAATCAATTCCTGGTTTGATTCGGTTTGGTGAGAAAAAACACACTTTTAAGAGAGAGTACTGTAAGTTATTTGAAATTTCTTACTTTTGTTTTTTTAATATGAAAATAAAAATTTTATGTTGTAAAGAAAGTCCTTGAAATGTTATGCTTTGTAAAGAAAGTTCTTGCTATTTTTTAGTTTGTGAACAAAGTCCTTGCTATTTTAGGTCTTGTAAAGAAAGTTTCTTCGCTTTTCTGCAAATTAAGCAATTTTTATATACTGCAGTCTGCGAGAGACAAGTTATATGACGAACACGCTTTAAATTTTTTTTGTAAAAACTTCTTGCCATTTCTTGTTTTGTAAAGAAAGTTCTTGTTATTTTTATGTTTGTAAAGAAAGTTCTTGCCGTTCTTTGTGCTGTAAAGAAAGTTCTTGCCATTTTATGATTTTTAAAAAAAGTCCTTGCCATTTAATGTTTTGTAAAGAAAGTTCTTGCCATTTTCTGTTTTGTAAAAAAAGTTATTGCCATTTTAGTCATAAAAGCTAATTAAATTTTTTTCAAAAAAGCTGGTAATTACAGTACCCCTCTAATCGAATCAATCGATTCGAGCCGCCAACACCTTACGACATTAATTCAAAAAATTCATCACCTACGGGGCCCTAATCCACTTGTGCGTTCCCCAAAATTAGTTTATATGAAGAGCTTATGCATAAATTGGGGCCTCATTTGACCCTGCCCCGCGCCCCGAAATTGCATTATACCGTAGTAGTTAAGGCTTTTTTTCGAAAAATTTGTGTTTTGAGTGCTTAAAGATGGGACAAATCAAAATAAATTTAATTTCGCCCTGCGGCACTTTTTTACGGCTCTTAAATATGTTGATTAAATTGGTCGATTACCGCTTAAATGGCTACGTCGTTACTACGTACGAAGCCGTTTTTATGAAGATAGGACGGCTTTTGAGAGGGTTTAAAGGTATGAAATGGCAGTAGAGAGGTTTTTTATGCGAAAACTTTCTTTACAAAACATAAAATGGCAAGAACTTTCTTTACAGAACATAAAATTGCAAAAACTTTCTTTACAAAGCAAGAACTTTTTTTTTACAATACAAAAAATAACAAGAACGTTCTTTACAAAACACAAAATTGCAAAAACTTTCGTTACAAAACAAAAAATGGTAAAAACTTTCTTTCCAAAACATAAAATGGCAAGAACTTTCTTTACAAAACCCAATTTGAAAAAATTTGTACAAAGGCTTTCAACACAATCCATCGTATAACTTGTCAATAAGCAGGCTCCAATACTTTCTCAGTGACTGTTAAAATCACTTTTATACCCCGCTTGGCCTTAAAGAGCAATGTTTACTTTTCGCCGGCCTTAAAAAAGTAGCTTTTAAACTGCCAAGGCTTAAAAAACATTCATATTCTACCCCGCCCAAGCCTTAAAAATCAATTTTTCGTCTAGCTCGAAGCTTTATATTTCTCGTGTCAAAGCCTTAAAAGTCAACTTTTACCCCGCCCAAGCATTAATAAACGTCACTCTTGCTTTCTCTATCCAGTCTCTCCCCCGCTTTCTCATACTATAAATTTTGTTCCGCCCAAGCTTTAAAAATCATCCTTTGTCTGCCTCAAGCCTTAAAAGTTAATTTTTACCACGCCCAAGCATTATTAAAACTTAACCTGAGAATTTCTGCCAATAACCCCTCCCCGCTGTCTTTTTTTATAAATTTTACCCCGCCGAATGATTAATAAGCTTTAACTTGTTTTTCTCCCCTCAACTCTATCCCCCGTTTCTTCTTACAAATTTTACCCCGCCAGGCCTTTAAAAATTAACTTTAATTTGTCTCAAGGCTTGATAAGCTATTTTCCAGAGTTCCAACCCTATAATCAATTATTAACCCGCCCAATTAATTAGTTTTTGCCTGTCCCTCTTAACACGCTACCCCGCTCTCTCTTTATCTTTCTATAAAATTTTACCCCTCCCAAAACTCGGCTTTTATCAATAAATTCCAAGTTGCCCAGCCCTCTTCGTACGCCGAGTTTGTACTGAAGATTCCAAATATTATCGCATCTTAATAGCCCTTCTTAGGGCTTCGGCTTCGAAATTACTCGAAAAGCCAATTGCCTCCTTTTCGTATGGTAATTACGGTTGGAGGGGTCCTCAGGCTGAAAGTTTTCAAATTCTATTTAAAACTTTGGGGTTTAAAGTAAACGAGCCGTTTAACAACACTGGGCTAGCTCATTTGCTAAAATGTTGAAATAGCTGTTGTTAGTTGTCTCATCCAATTAAAGGCAGAGATACAGTATTTTTAAAAAGAAAAAAATTTTAAAAAACCTTGAAGTAATAGGCAAAAAACGGTGAAGATAAACACCAACAGTACCATTAGAACTGAAAGAAGGCCCACTAAGCCCGGCCTGGCCCAGCACAGCCCCGACGCGAGCAGAAGCAAAATTGGGAGAGGCCGGTCCGGCACAGGTACTCTAAGCTATGACAAGAACTTTCTTTAAAAAAACATAAAATGGCAAAAACTTTCTTTACAAAACGTAAAATGGCAAAAACTTTCTTTACAAAACGTAAAATGGCAAAAACTTTCTTTACAAAACGTAAAATAGCAAGAATTTTTCATTAAAAAATTTTAAAGCGTGTTCGTCGTATAACATGTCACTCGCAGCCTGCAGAGTATAAAAGTTGCTTAATTTGCAGAAAAGCGCAGGAACTTTCTTTACAGAACCTAAAATAGCAACAACTTTGTTTACAGACTAAAAAATTCCCCTAGACCCGGCCCACTGCATCCTTCG